TACAACACGGCCCAGATCCCAGCTTGTACTGTTGAAATGACGAGATGTTGTAGTGATAATTATGACAAGTGAATACTACTGCTGATGGACAAAATTCTGCATGACCCAAATATAGTATAGTACCACAAATCCCATAGTTTAGGTATATAAGGCCATGCAGGATGTTGTCCATCAGCCGTATGACCATGGTAGCGAGGCCCGGAGAATGTTTCACACCGCAAGATCTCAGATTCCCGCGCAGGCAAAACGGGAGGGTTTAGGGTTTGGGGCTTTTAGGGCTTCGGGTTTGGGGTATCGGGTTCAGGGGTATTGGGTTTAGGGGTTTAGGGTTTAGGGTTTTAGAATTTAGGGGTTTAGGGTTCAGGGTCAGGGTTTCGCGTTTAGGGTTTCGAGTTTAGGGGTCTAGGGGTTTAGAATTTGGGGGCTTAGGGTTTAGGGTGAGGGTTTCGGGTTTAGGGTTTAGGGTTTAGAGTTTAGGGGTTTAGGGGTTTTGGGTTCAGGGCGGGCCAGGTTTCAGGGACGTTCAGGGCCTAGGCTCCAAAAAATCTCTGCCTTCTGGGAGAGACACTCTGGAGCCCTTCACCGCGGTTTAGGGTTTAGGGCTTAGGGCCTAAACCTTACACCCTCTAACATAGGGTGCGGAAATAATTACCAACAGTATTTTTGGGGCGGCGGGGGGGTCCTTAATATAGGTATGGTAGAATGGGCACCACAATCTTCTTCTAATTCTGGAGGCTCCCCCAAATCCCCCATTCCTTACCTTAAGCTACCCCAACCTACTTTTTTGTAGGGTCCCTATGAACTCTATATATCTATATTAGGGTTCAGAATAAGAACCTACAGAAAGTTAGGTTATGGTAGCTTACGGTAAGCACACACACCCCATATTCATGAGGGTCCGAAGGTCCGATAAACTCCTCTGGCCCGCTTCCCCAAGAGCCTTTAGGGTTTAGGGTTTAGGGTTTAGGGTTTAGGGTTTAGGGTTTAGGGTTTAGGCTCAAGCTCTTACTTTCTTTTCCTGAAGTCAATGAATTCCTAATATTCTTAAGTTGAACAGAGCACAGCCCAAAAGCGCTTAATGGGACGAGGCCGTCCAACCTCCGAGAAAGATCTCGGAACCCCTAAACCCCCTAAACCCTAAACCGTGAACGCAATCTCTTCTCTTCACTCCCCCATAGAGCAACGAAGAAGCATCTAAATTACAACAAAAACCCAAACCCTGAAGAAAGCGATACCTAAACCCAAACCCCTAAACGCTAAACCCCCGAAACTCCTAAACCCTAAACTGCCCGACAAAAACCCTAAGCCTCCTTCAACCCCCTACACCCTCGAAACGCCCCCTAAACCTCCCCCAAGGAGACTAAACCCTAAACCCTAAACCTCCCCCAAGGAGACGAGGTCACGGTCACTGGAGCGATTTCCAGACTTGGAAGAGCTTCTGAGCCAGGCTCAGGCCTGCTTTCACGAAGTTTAGGGTTTAGGGTTTAGGGTTTAGGGTTTAGCGTTTAGGGTTGAGGGTTCAGGG